TGGAAATATGGAAAGTTGGGGGCTGCAAATGTGGAAATGTGGGACGTTGGGGGCTTGCAAATGTGGAAACGTGGAAAGTTTGGGGCTGCAAATGTGGAAACGTGGAAAGTTGCTGGCTGCAGATGTGGAAAGTGTGAAAATCTGGACATGTGAAAATGTGAAATATGACAATAGTACACACGTGGATTCGCTTTTGGCTAAGTGTTGGGGGCGTTCAGAAAATAGACCCACCTTTCACATCCACACCCTCTCCACATCCCACCACAACCCAACAACCCTCTTCAGCTTCTCGAAGAAAAATTTGGCTAAAGCGTGGGTCTTCTGGAGGGTAGCATGAATTCATATATATATATGTATAGATATACATATTATATACCTACATCCAGCACGAAACTTGCTGAAAAGGTGCCAGCAAAGTTATGGCAGCGCGACCAGCTTGATATCAATTTTGCTCAATATCTCCACAGCCTCGTCTGGACCAGAGGCAGCTTGGAAATCCACCTTCGCACTGCACTGCAGGCGTGTGAGCCAGACAAAGTGACTAAGCAGTTGCCCTGGCAGCCTCTGCTGTGTTTAAACAGGGTAGAGCACAGTTTGATGCAAAAGGAGCTAGCCTCCTGGAGTAGGAACTGGATTTGTACGATTTTCTCCTCACAGCCATGACCCATAGGCAGCGCCCTACCCTCAGAAGACTTCACTGCGTGAGGGTGCACTTGCACGTGCACAAAGCATGAAAGCATGTAGATGCATCCGTGAAGCGAAGCTGTCTAGCAGCGCACCTTGGGAACTGTCTGCGCACGCAGTGCCATCAGATCCTGGCTTCTGCTGAGAAAATTATGCATGACCAAAGTAGCAAACTGCCATCACAAATGACATGCAAAGGCGTGGTCTGTCACCGGGAACGAATAATTGCATATGGCTGCAAAACGGCCACATCCTGTAGGAACTGTTGGGGATGCTCCAGGACACCTGCGCACACTTGAGTGAACATCCATGCCAAGCCTGCACCAAGACTTTAGCGTTTTCGCTACTTAGAACAGCACAATGCATCCAATTCAAGACATGACCCTGCCTGCAAAAGCAGCCAGGACTCCCTGCCCCTGGCACGAGCGAACAATGCACCACAAGCAAGGCAACGGGATAACCTGCAGAATCTGAACGCTGTAGTGGCTATACATTCCAATGCATGCCGGTTGACTACAGCTGCCATCATTCTCTAACAGGCTGAAGCTTCAGCCAGGCCATCAAAGAAATGCAGTAAACCAGAAATCGAAATCATTGATAGCAACTTGCCTGCTCTCCCTCTCTTTGTGCAGTGGAATACCTTACGGCATTCAGCTTCGTATCTTTGCGCCACTTTTGTTTACTCACAAGTGTCACACTCAAAGAGTGTGCAGTAGCAGCTGGCAATCAATTCCGTCCGCGCAAACCTGCCAGACAACACATTAGATGAAGAATGCTTGAGCTGGGGCCAGAATCTGCACCAAAGATGGCCGTTTATGCAGGACAACTGTAGAACCGCAGCGTAGAACTACAAAACGACCTAGACAGCTATGATTTGCAAAACGTGTGGAGGGATAGACATAAAAGTAACAATGTAAAGATACAAATAGGACCGAGACACACAGAGAGGGAAAGTAAGAAAGAGTTGCATTCAAAAACACCAGCAACAATGCCCCAGCAAACTTCAACGAAAAAAACACAAAATGCAGCAAGGCAGGAAGAACGTGCGGAAGGACAGAAAGCGACAAGGCCAAAAGGTGGGGAACAAAGCATGAAAGGTAATAAGGAGCCAGTGTGCGAGACAGACAGGGAGATAAACGCATTTAGAGGACCGGATGGGGCAGGCGGTAGACCTGCAAGCCTCATATCCGGCCAGCTGCAAAACAGGAAGACAATCAGATCAAGGTTTCCATCTCTCATGTCGTAATGCCTCCATAGTCTAGGTAGGGAGTCATGCTTTGGATAAACCAAGCATTTGCCATGTGCAAGCTCAAGCCTACAGCACTTCTTTGCTTAAGCAATCCTGTCAAAGCCTCTCAAAGTCAAAACATGCAGGCGTGGCCTTGCTTCCGGCTGACCAGGCATTGACTTTCCAAACTGCCTCATCCGAAGGATCTCAGCAAAAAAACATAAGCTCTCTCAAGAGACTTCGCCACTGGCTGGCGTAGTCATGGATCGATATGGGTTGTTGGAAGTTTCTAGCTACAAACGGAATGCCGGTTCGGTGCGCATGATCGGAACGAGATTCGCAAGATTTCTCGACTCTGGCTCGAATTTTCTAAAGCATTGCTTACAACTTGAAGACACTAGCTCGGTTCATGAGCAGAGCCCATAGTGCATTGGTTTTCTCCTCGCACACTAAACTCCTTCAGCCGGTTAACACGGCAGAAGTTCGGGCTTCCAAGGGACACCCATCCTCTCACACAGCCTGCGTTTAGACGCGCCGCTCGAAGGTACGGGAGGGTAGGAAGTCAGGAAGCGCCTGGTATGTTCAGGAAACACACTAAGTACCCGCCTCAGCGCCGTTTGGCTGTGATCCAAAACGGCCGTAGACGACAAAGTTATCAGCATGCTTAAATGTCCTGCCGCCGTTGAAACCGTGCCCTATGTTTATCGAAAGTTAGAGTTCCGCCTAAGTGAAATGCTTATTTTAGCGGCTTTGAAACAAGGCCTATTTTTCAGGTCGTCGTTACGAATCGTTGGGTTTTTGTAATTATTTGGGTCTATTTTGGAGTTTGGGCTTGCAGCACAATACGTTATTATGGTTTGGGCATGATGCTCTGCGAATCGAATGCAATGAGAACACGGACGGTATTATGGCTTGGGCATGGATGCTCTGTGAATCAAGTGCAATGAGAACACAGACCTTATTCCGGTTTGGGCATGGATGCTCTGTGAATCGAATGCAATGAGAACACGGACGTTATTATGATTTGGGCATGGTTGCTCTGTGAATCGAATGCAA